TAAATTTTGTGTAATTTATTGAAGCTCAGAGTTGATGCATTTTATAAATTCTTCTTCAGCTTTTGTTTCAAAATTGTTACTTTTTCAACTCGTTCCTCAAAAACGATGCACAAGACACTAATTTAATTGCGCTCTTTTCGAGGTTTTTTCTCACTCATGTTTATTTTGTATTCTTGTCAATTTTTTGCTAAAAAGTGAGAATGTCTAGCAAACCTGGATTACAAATTGCGTCTACATTTTAACGGGCCCTTTTTCTAACTTCCTGCTTGCGAACTATTCTTTTCKAAATTTCTAAAAACTGTTAGCGGTACCGAATTCGTTCCTTTTTTTGTGTTTCTTCTCTAAATTTTCTTAGACGATTTTTTGTGTTGACGTTTAATGACATTGTTTTCGAATCAATTCAAAAAACCGGAACTGCCAACTTCCTTTATTACTGTTTGGCATTTCCATTAAAAAAAGAACTGACTTTAGTTGTAATACATAGATCATAACTACGGATACCTAAAGACCTTCATAACATCATAACTTTATCATATCTGTATAATAAATAGTTTAAGCAAAAAACGTTTGGTTCCATACTTTTTATTCAATAATTCTCCATTTTAGCGTCGAAAATTCCTCACAAAATGCAATATAAACAGTTTGCTTCTTTTGAGTACTTTATTTCATAGTTTACATTTATGGTAATGAAATTCGGTAAAAAACAAAAATTTTTTTAATTTAAAGACACTTTTTTCTGTGGCTGATTTTGCTAATATAACTTAATTTTTTAAAGAAATAATCTTAGAAAGGAATAATTTTAGAGATCGTATTTGCCCACAATTTTTGTTGGTAAAGTTTAAGCGCTAAATGCAAATTAATTCAACGACTAAATCCTCCACATCTCAAGATAATTATAAACATGCAGAGAAGGCAAGTGCATCTTTTGCCCTCTCCTATCACCTCTTAAAATTTCTGTGCAACTATTAAAATCATCCTGTATATATGTATATGTATATATAGTATTTTATCCAATTAATAAATACAAAAACACAAAAAAAAAATTATTTTACTACCTTTGTCACACTAAATAAATTAAAAAGAAAAAAAAATATTGCCTAGTTAAGACACGAAAGGAGTATTTCTTGTTCTTCTTCAATAAAATTTAAAAAACTGGCCGTTTCAAAAACCCGATTTCTGGAAACACAATTTCCAAATGTGATAATTACACACAAAAAAACAGACTTTAGTCAATTCGACATTTACTGAAAAATCAAAACGAGACAATATTTTTTTCGAAGTACCAAGAGAAAAAAACTACTACATTAGGATTTGGAAAGGAAGAAAGAGACAAACTACATACCCAAAAGGGAAAAACTAGATTTTTTTACCAATGTAGTATACCTTTCATTTAGCCCGACTTTATTTGTAAATAATTTTCTTATTTTCGTAATTTTGATGGTACTGCATTCACAGTTTTTTCATACAATTTTATTCTAAGAAAATAGCAGTAATTTCATTTGCAACAACTCAATAAAACGACGTTCATTCTTGTTCTTGTTCATTCTTTAGTTTGAGTATCATCAAGAAATTTATTTCTAAAATTGCTTATGGTTTTTTCTTGGCATGGCACCCTGGCTTTGGATCGATGGTAACTGTCCGGCACTAGAGCA